TCACCATTTCCCCAGCACATGTGTGCATTTTGAAGTGAACAAAACGGTAAATCAAAGCCGATCTCTGTATTTCACTTTCTTTCTCTTTCACTTTCTCTTTCTTTTTTTTTGCTCCCTGTCCACTAAATGATTTGTTTCTACTAGATTCACTCGATTTCTTTACCATTTTGTACCCTTTTTCTTTGACTTTATACCAATGAAAGTTTTTTGGTGGGAAAATGGTGGGAAATTAGGGTTTTATGCCAGAAAAATTTGGTAGTCATGATTTGAAAATTGAGAGAGAAAAAAAACTCAAGAGAGTTTTGTTAGTTAATTATTAGATAGTTGAGGAAATTTTGTCTATAATCTTGTTTATAAACTTGTTTATAATCTTGTTTATAAACTTGTTTATACAGTGGAATCGAAAGTAAAACTTTGAGCCTCAAAAAGGAAAGCTTCTATACCAAAGCCCTATGTCAGATGGAGAGCGAGAACACCTCTTTACAAAGCGATTTTCTGCTTTTCCTTTATCGAAAAAGAAGCTATTCAACTATGAATTTGTCCCGCGGATTTTCAGGATCGTTGAGCCGACTGGAGTCATTCATTTTACCAGATAAGTTAGTGAATTTCTTCCAAAAACCGCTCTCCACTTGTTCCCTGTAAACATAGTGTCGGCTTTTGCCAACACCATTGACCATCACCGTTTGCCGTATCACCATTGTGAGTCTCCTGTAAGCATAGTGTAAGCTTTTGCCGTATCACCCATTCACCCATTCCACCTAGCCATTCGAAAGTTTTACAGTAAAGCTCTCCGAAAAGTGACAAGTTCTTCTTTCCTTTCAGTGCGGATACCTTTCCCCGATTTTTCTTCAAAAGAGAATGGATTAATTGCGTCTCTTTTCTTGTCGGCCTAAGGGTCACCAGACGGTCGATTCCTTTTCTTTTTGTCACTAACAAGTTATTGAGCCTCATTCATTTGGGTTTATTGCAGCCTTATGAGATTAGAAGTTAGAAGTTGTTAGAGTTAGAAGTTGATAGGGTTAGAAGTTGATAGGGTTAGAAGTTGTTAGAGTTAGAAGTTGTTAGAGTTAGAAGTTGTTAGAGTTAGAAGTTGTTAGGGTTAGAAGCTGTTAGAGTTAGAAGTTGTTAGAGTTAGAAGTTGTTAGAGTTAGAAGTTGTTAGAGTTAGAAGTTGTTAGGGTTAGAAGCTGTTAGAGTTAGAAGTTGTTAGAGTTAGAAGTTGTTAGAGTTAGAAGTTGTTAGAGTTAGAAGTTGTTAGAGTTAGAAGTTGTTAGAGTTAGAAGTTGTTAGGGTTAGAAGATGTTAGAGTTAGAAGTTGAAGCCTTAGATTAAGCTTTGACTTGAAAACATTCCCGACGACAGCATTTTAAGCGTACAATCGCGTAGTCGTTAACTTTTTCATTGATAATTTAGTGAAAATACAAATCGAATGAATTGAATGGTCGTGAGTGTGTTTAAAAGAAAGCTAAAAATTGGCTAAAAAGACTTGAATCCGAATCAGAGTCCGACCTGTAACAGTGTTGGATCAGGCAGAATATTTATTTAAAGCACCGAAGGGTTTAAATACCAAAAGGTTGAGGGGGAAATGTTTTAGAAATGTCTATATTTTGGCTAGGAAAATCGTGGGAAGATTTTGGAGAAAAAAGGAGGATTAAAAGGGAACATTGATCGATAGAGAAATAAACTTTATCGGAAGAATTTCCGAACAAACAGCTACTTTTTCCACTGTGGATACTTTGCTGCTCTCGAACCTGTAAACACAAACTTTCTGGCTTGATTCAATGACAAACTTGATTAAATTTCAATCAATTTTCCTACAAAACTAGGATTAGAAAAGTGAAAAAGATGCAAAACTTTTGAAAATTTGAAAATTAAAAAACTTTGATGCACTTTGGATATTTTGGAAAAAAAAAGATATTTTACTTTAAGCTCGACAAATGTAAAAAGGTAAACTTCTAAATCTAAAGATTATCTTTTCATAGGAATCTTTTTGATCAAAGAAAGTCAACCGCCATCCCATTTCTCCACGTAAACAACGAGCTCGAATTGCACAAGGAAAAGAGAAAGAGATCGGGTTACGGTAGCGGCTTTTTCTCAGCAACTCATCGATCGAAGAGCTATTTTTCGAGATCAATTCGAGAGTTTACCGTGTTAAAAACCAAGGAAAAACCTTTTCTTGTGAAAAATAAATTCTTAAAATGATTTTTCACAAACTCATCTCAAGAATACAGTTAAACTCATGAAAATTGTTTTAAGGCTAGTTTTTTCTGGGCACTGGCTCCTTTAAACTAGGCTAGGGTCAGATTTTGGCCTTGCCTAGTCTAACCTGACTTTTGGGTTGAGCTCTAGCCTGACTGAAGTACTAGAAGAGCTGGCTTTTGGCTTACCCATCTCAATCTCCCAAGTCTCAAGTCTCAAGTCCCAAGATCCCAAGTCTCAAGATGCCAAGTCTCAAGTCCCAAGATCCCAAGTCCCAAGTCTCAAGTCCCAAGTCAACGTTTAATCTAAAAGCCTTATAACCGAGCTAGATCTCCTCCACAGCTTACCCTGCACATCTCAATCTCCCAAGTCTCAAGATCCCAAGTCCCAAGTCTCAAGATCCCAAGTCTCAAGTCTCAATCTCCCAAGTCCCAAGATCCCAAGTCCCAAGATCCCAACGTTTAATCTGAAAGCCTTATAACCGAGCTAGATCTCCTCCCTGCCTTTTACATTCCCTCTAGGTCGTATTACACCCTTTTTCCTCTTGGCTGCTCACCAAATTTCTCTCTTAGCTCTCTCAATTGATGAAATGAGAATGGGGAAAGGAAATCCTCTTTTCCTCTTTTACCTTTAAACATTCTTAGAGCTTTTTAAGACCATCTCTACTACGGTAAAACTGATCAACTCTTTCTCGCTTAGAGCTGATCAGTTGATCGCTTTTTGTTTTGCTTTTCACATTGAGTAAAACATGGATTCATAAAGATTTATTGTTTCTTTTTATGTAAAAAAATCAGTATGTGAAAAGTGAATCAAAGAACAAGAAAGCTCTCTTTTGATAGCTCTAACATTTTACTTTTTAGCTGTAACATTTTACAATGAAATAATCGTTGAATTGCGATGAAATGCAAATGAAATCATCAAAAGAGCTTTGGAAAAACGGAGAATGAATTATACAAGAATTATACAATTATACAAGACTTGTATAAATAAGTTATAAATTATATTATTATTTAAATTATACAAGTTCTTTGAGAATCAATGTGATAAGTGCGATTTAAGAGCTGTTTCTGTAAAAGCAATGAGTTGTCAAAGCAATGAGTTTTTTTTAAATGAAATTGTTTACAATGCTTCACTTTAACTAATCTAACTACTAAACTAACTTTAACTAATCGATTAAGCTTGACTTTCAGAAATCGAAGAATTTAGAGGTACTCAATGTGATCTAGAGACTCGAAGCTTTACCATAAAAATCTAGAGCTTCAAACAGAAGAGCTTCTAGAGACATTCTCGGCTCTCGCTGGGTGAAACTAGTTTCTGTATCTGGTGGCTTTCAAGATCTAAATGTACATTTAGATCTTATCCTAAAGAATCTAAAGAATCTAAAGCTACAAGGCATTCCAGATCCAACTGCCCATGCTTAGTCTAGTAGTACGGCCTTTCGATCTAAGGGATCTAAAGGATCTAGAGATCTAAAGATCTAAAGATCTAAAGATCTAAAGCTCTAAAGATCTAAAGGTGCCCCTTGGGTCCAGCAATCCACACCTAGAAGCCTTGGATCTAAAGAACTAAGACTCCTAAGAATCCTAAGAACCCTAAGGATCCTAAGGATCCCCCAGGTCCTCCTCTATGTGTCTAAAGCCGATCCTCATCCATATCCCATATCTCCGTTTAGTGGGTGGAGACAGTTGTCGGTGTGGCTAAGGATCCCCTCGATTCCCCTCATTCGAGTCAACTGTCGCACCAACTGCTCCCCTTTACTTTATCCAATCAAAAAGAACTTTTCCTCTTTTTTTTTTCTTGCCTCAATTTCTTATGATAACGTGAAGAAGTTGGAATTCTTAAGACCGAGACAACTGTTTCCATTTGAATGCCTGTTCTGCCGTGTCTGCTGTTCGTTTCTGTTTTCGGCAGAGACTTTTGAAATCTTGAACTTGTTAGTAAAAGTTGTGAAAAACAAAGTCAAATATCTAAATGTTAACGTTAAGAAAGAAAATGTTTGGAAAGAAGATTTTTGGAAGATTTTTGGGTAGAGTTTAAAAGACACGATAAAGTATAATAAACGATAAAGTATAATAAACGATAAACTATAATAAACGATAAACTATAATAAACTATCGTACTCTAAACGGCAGCTTCATTTGGGGAACATTTCCTGAGAATTGTGTGGTATAGAATTTGCTCAAAATTTGGTTAAATTGGCTATGAAAACTTGGGGATTACGGTAATTTGTCTAGAATATCTTTTAGAAAATGATATAGCTGGAAAGAAATTTACTTTCTGACCTTACTTACTTACTTACTTACTTGCTTACTTACTTACTTGCTTGCTTACTGACTTAATTACCTTACTTTCTTATCTCACTTTTAGTGAGCTAAAGCATTGAGCTATTGAAAAGCTATTTAACTTAAAAGCTATTGAGCTATAAAAGCTATTTAGCTACTTAGAAGCTATTCAACTTAAAAGCTATCCAACTTAAAAGCTATTTAGCCCTTAAAAGCTATTCAACTATTTTAAAGCCTTTCTTTCTACTCAAGAATCAATAGCTTTTTAACATACTGTAGTGGAAAAGAGTTCTTTAAAGAATCTTAAAGAGTTCTTTAAAGAATCTTAAAGAGTTCTTTAAAGAATCTTAAAGAGTCCTTTAAAGACTCTTAAAGACTCTTAAAGACTTTTAAAGACTCTTTAATAGAGTCCTTTAAATGATGAGCAATTTTGGAATCAATCAAAGCATTTATTTGATATTTGTTAAAGCTCTCATTCTTTATCAATTTTTCTAAACAATGATTTTCAAAAGTTTTCCAGATGAACGAGCAACAACCCAGCTACGACTACATCACATCGATTGGAGCCTATGGGAACAATCCGAGAGTTAGCGTCAACACGACTGGTTTGTGTTTTTATAAAAAGAAACAATTGATAGTAAATGAACAATTGATAGTAAATTGATAGTAAATGAATCTTTTAGATATCACTACATTGACTCCATTCCAGTCGAGTCACTCGACGGCTAGCTACGATCAATCAGCACCAAATATCTACGAACCGTATCGGTGAGTGTTTTCAAAAAGAAAATGAATTATAGAAATAGTCAGAATAGTCAGAATAGTCAAAATAGTCAAAATAAAACCCGATTTAAGCTATAGAATAGAAAATGTCGAAAATTTTCTTTAGAATTCTATAGAATATCGAAATAGTTCGACAAAAATTCACCAAAATCTATAGAAATATACTAGTAGAATAGGGTTTTCAGTTTTTCATTTGTTAAAGCGAAACTCTCAGCTCATTCTTCAGCTTATAAATCAGCTTATAAGTCAGCTTATAATATAAATCAGCTTATCAATCATCTTATCAATCAGCTTATCAATCAGCTTATAAGTCAGCTTATAAGTCAGCTTATAAATCAGCTTATAATATAAATCAGCTTATCAATCTCATTTTAAAGTGCAAAATACTGAATCAGTGTACAGAAAAGGCTTTCGCAAGTCAAAGTGCTAATTTCGTAACTCCGAATAAAGGTTGAGAGTGAGGATTTCTGCAAGAATGACTGTCCCCTTCCCCCACTTCTCTGATACATCCGATCAGGTGTGCCCTTGTGTGGCCTAGAAAAGATGGCAAATGTGCACCAATTGTTGAACAACTGTGACTGACTGGCTGACTTCCTTGGCCGATGACTCCTTCCCGGGGATGGCTGTCCCTTTCCTTTCAGTTTTTTTTCTTCATTTCCACACACTTCCGAACGTCAGTTGTGTTTAGACATATGCTTCAGAAAGATCAAAGAAATGACAGAAAAAGGAAACTTGCAAGAGTTAAACTTATTCAAATTCCTTGAGATCCGTTCAATCACTTCAGAGTCAATTAGTAGCACTTCAGGGCTGTTGATCAACAACTTTAGAGTCAATCAATGCATTTCAGAGCTGTTGATCAACCCCTGTTCACCTATATGAGCTGAAATTTCACAATATTCACTTTTTAGCCTAGTCGACTAGTTGATTAAGCTGATTAAGCTGATTGGACTGACTCGACTAACCTCTTTCTGATCACAATCCATCCAGAGTTGCTCCAGAGAGCTTGCGTTTATGCAAAGCTGCAATGACATGCAATAGTTTAAGGACCCCAGTAGCTTACTATGGTAGACAAAATAATAAGATAAATAACAAGTGTGACTGAAGGATTCTGGCTTTATACAGAAGAAAATCTTCTCTTTTTTTTTCAATAATTTCAACGTTTACTAATGTTAAATCGTATTCGCGTAAATAGAGACTTACGAGGGAATTTCACACTGAATTTGCTGACTAAATGACATGAGCTATGACTATCCGACGAAGAATTTAACGCTGATTCCGAATCTGTTTTCCGTTTCTGATATGGAGCGCTCTGTCAAAAGTTATAAGCCTGTAAAGTTTTGTATAGGATTTCAAAAATCACACAGAGTTTATAAGCAGATTTCCCAGGGCTTTTAACAGGCATTGGTCGCAGAGTGGCAGTAAACTAGAATACAAGGCAAAACCTCTCTAGTTCGAGTCCGGTATTCTAGCTTTTCATTTCCTTTTTCTCGCCACAGCTATGGCCTCTCCACAGCCTCGCCACAGCTATGGCCTCGCCACAGCTATGGCCTTGCCACAGCTATGGCCTCGCCACAGCTACGGCCTTGCCACAGCTATGGCCTTGCCACAGCTACGGCCTTGCCACAGCTATGGCCTTGCCACAGCTACGGCCTTGCCACAGCTATGGCCTCGCCACAGCTACGGCCTTGCCACAGCTATGGCCTCGCCACAGCTACGGCCTTGCCACAGCTATGGCCTTGCCACAGCTATGGCCTCGCCACGTTGAAACACAGAAGATATCCCTTCAGATTTGCCAAGTTAAGCAACATTGGACTCGGTTAGTCTCTGGTTCGAATCCAGCAGATGAGTCGGGGATATCTTCCCTGAATCGAGTGCTGTAGATAACCGCACCCTGAACTGGTTGCTAAAATCGGTCCCCCTAGGCCCCTTCCCCTTGGGATTGGGATAAACAGGGATCCAAATGGGTAGACTTGTCTAAAGCGCAAGCTCATATAAAGCGGGTAGCCTTCTCCTACATCGTCTCATCCTCACAAACGATATTCCCTAGATTTTCATGTGTAAATTGTGGTTATGTGTGTGCAAAATAAATCACCGGTAACCCCAGTATACATTCTTAATATATATATAAATGTCGTAACCGTTTACGAAATTCATCCGCTAACGAATCATTCGTAAACGTCATTGAGCTATTGAAAAGCTATTGAGCTATTGAAAAGCTATTTAACTACTTAAAAGCTATTGAGCTACTTAAAAGCTATTGAGCTATTGAGCTATTGAAAAGCTATTGAGCTATTGAAAAGCTATTGAGTTACTTAAAAGCTATTGAGCTATTGAAAAGCTATTTAACTACTTAAAAGCTATTGAGCTATTGACCTATTGAAAAGCTATTTAGCTATTGAAAAGCTATTGAGCTACTTAAAAGCTATTTAAGCTATGTAAGCTAGCCGTTAACGAATGAGGTTTTTTCACTAGATTTGTACGAAATCTTTGTAATCGACTTCTGCGAACATGACTACCGTATTTGTTCGAATAGAAGACCGGGTCAAAGAGTATCATCGCGTACTCCTGCGTAGCAGCCCTTTTTAAAATTTCTTTTCTGCATAAAAGCTTTCAATCAAGTGCTATAGAGCTGGAAAATGACTCAAAAATACGACATGAGCTAACAGATTTTTGAGCCATTTTCCAGCTCTATAGCACTTGATTGAAAGCTTTTATGCAGAAAAGAAATTTTAAAAAGGGCTGCTACGCAGGAGTACGCGATGATACTCTTTGACCCGGTCTTCTATTCGAAGAAATACGGTAGATTTAAATGAATTTACCATGTTTGCGGCTGAATTTCGGCAGAATTAAACGGCAAAATCTAGTAGACGTAAAAACAAAACACTTCTCAAATCGCAAATAAGAAATCCTTATCGTTACTATTTAGGAATCCTTATGGCTACTATGGGTACAACTCGCAAAGTGTTCCGTCCGCTTTCTACCCACCAGGTAGAAATTGTAAACATGGTAAACATGGTAACATGGTAACATGGTAACATGGTAACATGGTAACATGGTAAACATGGTAAACATGGTAAACATGGTAACATGGTAACATGGTAACATGGTAAACATGGTAAACATGGTAAACATGTAACATGGTAACATGGTAAACATGGTAACATGGTAACATGGTAACATGGTAACATGGTAACATGGTAAACATGGTAAACATGGTATCATCCAAGAGTTCACTAGTTAAAGCTCAATGAATTGAGGGAACAGGAATATCGTTGATCTTTCAAATATTGGATCATTTGATAGTTGCAGAGTGATATCAAAAGCATTTTGTAGTTGTTGATTCATCATTCGGTGCAACGACGACTCTTTCAAATACCGTTTTTCCACAATCTTCAATTCAATCGATTCAATCAACTTGTCCCCCACAAATCGAGCACAAAGAAGTGCCGAAGTTGGAGAGTAACGATGTGAAACGGGAAAATGGTTTGTTTTGGGACTTTTAAACTCTATTTATTCATTCTATTAGGTTGATGCAAAAGTCTTTTTCATTTTTTTCGTACTTCTTTTGAAAAATAAAAAAGTCATCAATTAACCTATGGTTTGCTCTAAATGAAAAGTGTTTTATTGTTGAATTTCCCATCTTTTTAAGTCAATTTCGGTTCACTTTCAAGCAAATTCGAGAGTGAAAAACGGGTTTTTCATAAAAATCTATAAAAACCTCTATAAAGAAATTGGTTGAATCAATTTCTCTGAAAATCTGAAAAGATATCTAACTTTTTGTGCTCTATCTTTTATTTATGAACATCAAGATTGGTTTCCTTAGCTAAAGCGTCTAAAATGCATCATCGAGCCGTCGCCTTTTTTGACTACCCGACTTCAGGCTCTCAAAAAAAATCTAGACATAAGACATTTTAAACTCGTTTTAATGTCATTTTGCAGAAAAATGATTGGCCTTTCGAATGCAATAAACCGTTGTTCAATTGGTGCATTTGTTACTTTTTAACGGAAGTACGAAAAAAATGAAAAAGACTTTTGCATCAACCTAATATTTATTATGAATATCGTAGTTCCCCGTACAGTAATCTTTGACAAATGGCACTGTTCATTAGACAGTTTTTTGGTTATCTACCGTTAAAAAATTTTTTTTTTTCTTTTTTTTTTTTTTAAAAAAAAAAAAAAAAAAAAAAAAAAAATATTTTATAAAAAAAAAAATTTAAAAAAATTTTTTTTTTTTTTTTTTTTATTAATTTTAAATTATTTTTTTTAATAAAAAAAATAAAAAAAATTTATATTTTTATATATTAAAAAAAAAAAAAAAAAAAAAAAAAAAAAAAAAAAGAAACGAAAAAGAAAAAAAAGGATTAAAAAAAGAAAAAAAAGAAAAACAAACCGTAGATAAAGTAATCTCTATAATGCTACAATCTCTACAGTAGCTCTTACAGTAACCCTTGCAGTAAACTACCGTAATTCTTAGGTCAAGCATCTTTAGAATGCTACAATCTAATATCTACAGTAACCCTTACAATAGACTGCGGTAATCCTTAGCTAAAGTAATCTCTATAATGCTACAATCTCTACAGTAACCCTTACAGCAACCCTTGCAATAGACTACCGTAATCCTTAGATCAAGCATCTTTATAATACTACAAGGTTACTGTAGATATTAGATTGTAGCAATCTAATATCTACAGTAACCCTTACAATAGACTGCCGTAATCCTTCCATATACAGCAATTCTATTTCCTTTTAAAAGCCTTCAAGCAAACATGCGCGTACTTTATGTTATCTGTAAAAAGAACCCTTCTGGCTAATCATTTCTTGAAAATAAAGGTAGTGTTCACAAAGTTAGAGACCAAAATGTACACCGGAGAGTTCACCACGTAAACTCGTGCCATCTGGTGCACTTGGTGAACTAGAGTTTAATGATATTAGAGCAAAAATTGCCTGATTCACTTACTCAATCGAACCATTGAAATGCTAGTCGCCGACCTTCACCTTCCGCCACCCAGTCAACCCCAACAATCTCAACAACCCGACGATCCGCCACAAGAAGAAACAATCCCAGCACCGAGAAAAAGTAAGCAAACCTTGTTGACAGAGATTATTTTTCTTGTAGAAAAGAGCAAAAATTCAGTTGATCGCCGAAAAGCGGCTACGATGAGAGAAAGGAGGCGACTCAGGAAAGTGAATGAAGCGTTTGAAGTGGTTAAACTAAGGACTTGTCCAAATCCGAATCAACGATTGCCGAAGGTGAGTCTTGAATTTCTGCCGAGTACACCAATTTCAGCGATATTCTGAACGGCTTTCTGTTTCTAGTTAGTCTAGGGAAAACCCTCTAAACTAGTCAAATCTTGTACATTTTTGTAACTTGTAAGGCCTAGTTTGGATTTGAAGCCAAGCCAGGCCAGTCAAGCAGTAGACTACCGTAATCCCAGACAAGGCCAGCCAAGCAATAGACTACCGTAATCCCAGCCAGGCCAGCCAAGCAGTAGACTACCGTAATCCCAGCCAGGCCAGCCAAGCAGTAGACTACCGTAATCCCAGCCAGGCCAGTCAAGCAATAGACTACCGTAATCCCAGCCAGGCCAGCCAAGCAGTAGACTACCGTAATCCCAGACAAGGCCAGCCAGTCAATGATCTAGAATCTATGATTGTTCAAGTTCAAGTTGACCAAGGGAATTTGATTCGATTAGGATGCTCAGAGAATTTCTTTCAACAAGAATTCTAGGTAGAAATCCTCCGCGCTGCCATCGAGTACATCAACAAATTGGAATCGATGCTGGCCGAACAGGGGAAAATGACAAAACTAATGCAACAGAATCAAGCGATGGCACAAGCGAGTGGGATTCCCGATTATATGGTGAGACGAGTTTCATCATGATTCTTGTGTTTTAGATCTTTTTCGTGTTAATCAGATTTATCAAATCTTTTAGTCAGCCTCGTCGTCGAGTTATTTCCCGAATGTGGACTCATCGCGTTTCGACGATGATGATCAGGATATGAGTGTTGATGGAAGTGCTGATGATAGTGCAGATGATGGTGCGTTAACACTTCTATGGATAGCTTTCATAAAAAGACATACAGACAGACAGACAGGCAGACAGACAGACAGGCAGGCAGGCAGGCAGGCAGGCAGACAGACAGACCAGAGTCCGTATGTTACACTCCGGAAAAAGTTCCCGTGGCGTCTCACTGCTATCTTTTATCTTTCCAGCGGTACCTTTTATCTTTCCAGTAAAACGTCCATAGTTTTTCTGTGGATCTGACTTTTCTCTGAAAGTTTTGGTGGAAAATTTTGTGCCGGAAACTTTCTGGAAAAAAATTATGGGAAAATTTCTGGGAAAACTATGGACGTTTTATTGGAAAGATTAAGGGTACCGCTGTAAAGATTAGAGACTCCGCGAGAACTTTTCCCCAAAGCATAGAATACGAGCTGAGATTCAGGTCAAGAACCAGCACTTGTTATTGCCTAAACTGAACCAGATTGACTACGGATTTGGACTGAAAAAAACTGAATCCTAGGATCTGCTAGCTAGAAAATAGCATACCAGAAGCCAGATTCAGAGCTGACACTTGGTAAACTAGCACTTTTGTGAAGCAGTCCAAATCAGCCTGAGGTTGAATGATTCGTCAAAAGAAAAAATATTTAGATCCCCCAATGCCCCTACCACATTCAGTACCCACTCAACATTCGCGAATAAAACGAAATTCTTTGGAGAGTCTCACGAATATTGTCGCCAAAATACGTGAGTTCAGAAAAGTACAAACTTTTACAAATACTAAATCCTACATAAATCTTAGAACTCTTTCTTTCTTTCTTTCTTCTCCTTCTTCCTTTCTCTCTTCTCTTTCTTTCTTTCTTTCTTTCTGCTTCTCCTTTATCTTTCCTTCTTTCTCTATAGCTTAATGGTTGTCCGGAAAGTAAAAGGTCAGGGGTTGAAGTCTCTCTCCAGAAATCTAGCTTGTCAATTCTCACTTCTGGATACAATAGTGAACAGGGTTAATCTCTAGAGCATAATCTATGTTCAAAATTCTCTAGAGCCAAATTCTAGAGTCAAATTCTAAAACTCTTCGATTCACTAGAGCCTTTAGAGTCAGAATTCAAAGACCAACGTCAAGCCAATCTATTGAGTTGGGGAGAATGAGTCGGCGACGAAAATCAAAAAAAATGTCTAAAACTTCAATTCGACTTCGTCAAATAATATGCGTTTGATATGAGTAGAATGGTTAACTAATTCTCTACAAAATGACATTTAAAAGAAAATTCAAACAGCGCCTCCGCTCAAGAAAAAGCCATTTTTTCACAAAAACTACAAACTGTGATCTAGAAAAAACCATTGGTGGGATCTTCCTGCAAATTTGGCAACGTAAGTAATTGAATGTGCTCTATCTTTTTTATATAAACACCAAAGAAGGTTTATGTGAAAGAAACTGTTCAAATGATGAGTCGGACTCTTTGCCATTTTAACCAGCTGCGTTTGGAAGTTCATAAACTCCACGAAAGAAAAGCTTTGTGGAATCTCTCAAAAGTGATTTTGTAGAGAAATAGTGGATCCTTTTGATGAAAGCAAACGTATGTTTAAAGAAGGCTTTATGTGTGCAAAAAGTCCCTTTAAAGTTTGGCGCCGACTCATTCTCCCCAACCCAATAATTGTAAGTCAAAGGTAGATTTTAGCCTAGATTTAGATTTAGATTTTAGCTTTTCATACTCTATTTCTTTCTTTCTTTCTTCTCCTTCTTTCTCTCTTCTCCTTCTTCCTTTCTCTCTTCTCTTTCTTTCTTTCTTTCTTTCTGCTTCCCCTTTATCTTTCCTTCTTTCTCTATAGCTTAATAGTTGTCCGGAAAGTGGCCGGAAGGATTATAAGTTCCGATAACTTAAGTTCCAATTTCTAGACACACTTAACATTGCCCCACAAACGTTCATAGGTATCCAAAGTACACGTGTACTTTTCAATTTCAATTTTTATCAAATTATTGAATTTACATCATTTTCAATGTGATTTTTTATCGATTCACATAAATCAAATGAAAATTTAAATCTAAATTTATAGAAAAAAAATAGCTTTACACACTTATCGACTTAAAGAAATGTGTCCAGATCCCGATGAAGCCACATCGATGAGCCAAGAGGTCATTGGTCAAGGGGAAATCGTTTCCCAACAACAACAACAACAACAACAACAACATCCCGCTCAACTCGCGCCAAGTATCACCGAACACTCTGATATCACACAGTTGTGAAAATGTTAAAATGTTAAAGTAAAAGTAAAAGTAAAAGTAAAAGTAAAAGTAAAAGTAAAAGTAAAACTCTTTTCTAAAAGAACTCTTTTCTAGAAAGAGCTCTTTTCTAAAAGAACTCTTTTCTAGAAAGAACTCTTTTCTTTTCTTTAGAAAAGCTTGATAACCAGCTTGCTTCGAAGCTTGAAAACCAGCTTGCTTCCAGCTTGCTCAAGTTGATCTTTCTAAAGAAACACCTTTACCAAATCAAAATCTCCTATTACTTTCTCAAAATTCTAACTTATTACCGTAGCTTTATGTCTTTAAAGAGAAATTTTAGCTTATTTTATGAAGATTTTTGTCCATTTAAACCTGAAATGATTGCTCAAATCGTGTATAGAAGGCTTTTATGAATATTTTTTTTGATTTCTTTTTTGCTTTTTTCTATATTTTTCCTTTCAAAAATCTTTTCAAATATGGTGCTCAATAAAGAATAAAAATAAAGAATGCTTAAAAAACGATAAAAAAAACAGATTAGCTAGCTGATGAAGAGCTTGGCTAGTCTTGACATATCAGCAGCAACCCTACAAACTACATCAAAGCTTTGATTAACTAAATTTGATTCATCCAAAGCTCACATTCTGATCATTGATTAAGCTTGGATTTTCTGTGGAAAAGTTTAATTAGATTTGGCTATAGATCTGGCTATAGATCTGGCTATAGATCTGGCTATAGATCTGGCTATAGATCTGGCTATAGATCTGGCTATAGATCTGGCTATAGATCTGGCTATAGATTTGGCTATAGATCTGGCTATAGATCTGGCTATAGATCTGGCTATAGATTTGGCTATAGATTTGGCTATAGATCTGGCTATAGATCTGGCGATAGGTCTGGCTATAGTAGTCCGAGTAGTCATTAGATTTGGCTATAGATCTGGCTATAGTAGTCTGAGAACAAGATTTAAACGAGGCTTTAACAGATCTATCTAACAGATCAGATAACAGATCAGATAACAGATCAGATAACAGATCAGATAACAGATCAGATAACAGATCAGATAACAGATCTACAGGGTGACCAACAATTACCGCAACACAGATCTGGCTTTTAACCAAACATACAACCAAATAGACAACCAAATATACAACCAAATAGACAACCAATCTCGAAAAGTTAACTTAAATATCTTTATTCAACATATAACAGTAACAAATTAACAATTAAAACAATTAAATTCAAATTTGCCTCCATCCGCATTCAGACAGGCCTGCAAACGTGAAATGGGAATTGTTTAATTCTCATAACATAATACGACGTTGTTGCCGTAATTCTTGGTCACCCTGTACTGTGGCTTGAGAGTTGTTTTCTAACAACGGAAAATGCAACAATGGAATGTTAGACAAGCTATAGATCGTTGGAAATTCCTCTCCAAACTTTTGACCTTATGGTGCAGTGGATAAAACGCTTGCATACAAAACGATCTTTTGCAAAACGATCGCAGCAATCTTTTGCTCGAGTTCGATTCCTTTTTGACAAAACTTTTGTTTTTGTTGGGGCTATAATTTGTTTCAAGTAAAAAGTAAAAGGCGTTTTTTTTTTGCTACAGTACTTTTTCAGGACTCTCTGACGAACCGGGTTGTGCTGGAGTTGTAGGTAATCAAGGGGAACCTGTAGATCTTGGAGCTCTGACCGAGGGAGATTGGGAAATGATTGAGAGATTGTGGATCGAGGGGAAGATCCGGACAAACGGGTATTTGTATTGATTACTGTATTGATTCTTCTATTCATGTATTATTGTATTACATTGATTCCTGTATCGGAAGTTTATCAAAAGAGTGCTTGTGGTGTGAATTGTGAAATAAATCAATTTTCATTTAAAAATGAGCAAAAGTGTCACAAAGTATGGTCATTTTTTGGTTTTAGGTGGCACATTTTGACTTGTAAAACTCATTTCGCATATCATTATTATCAAAGCATCTTTACAAGTTTGATGTATTTATTTGTGGAATTCCCGGCAATTCACGAGATATCCCTTTATGGATTTGATCGTGGGATTACGGTAGTCTACTGCTTGGCTGGCCTGGCTAGGGTTACGGTAGTCTACTGCTTGACTGGCCTGGCTAGAGTTATGGTAGTCTACTGCTTGGCTGGCCTGGCTGGGATTACGGTAGTCTACTGCGTGTATTTGTGGATCGGCGGGAAACACAGGTGAGCCGGGCCAAACCGGGGCAAACAAAGACAAAGTCCGTCCGGTCTTTCTATTCAACCAGGTACTCGATTTTATCGTAAATCTTAAAATTTTAAGCTACTTTTTTAAAAACATAGCTCAATTCTTATCTTTAATTTGTTAGTCAATTTTGGCTCTTTTTTGAAAAGAAGCAGCTGAAATTAGTGAAATGGCGATCAACAGGTGCAAATCGGCAAAACGAAAATGAAGTTTTGAGAATCGAAACCTGACAAAAAATAATTATTTTTAAGGTTATGACGATCAAGTTGAGAATTTTGTTATTTTGGTTTAATAAGTAAACAACTGGACTACGGTAGCTGTTATCTTCAGCTGGATTACGGTAGCTCTTTTCTTTAGCTGGATTACGGTAGCTCTTTCCTTCAGCTGGACTACGGTAGCTCTTTTCTTCAGCTGGACTACGGTAGCTCAAAATATTAGGTTGGTGCAGATGAAACTTCCGTTGGAAACATAAACAAAATTTATTATAAAAATCCTAATACAGAACCTCAATCCAAAAAAAATATTCGCCATCATTATCAATGACTCTTTGCCATCTTCCACGCAAAGAATGGATGCCCTTTTCGCAGAACTCGGGCAACTGCGACTCGAAGAAGTTGGACACCCAGATTTCAACTTCTTCGCGGTTTTTGAATTTTTTTTCTACTAGAGAGTGCTGCATCGACCGAAACAAGTGGTAGTCGGATGGGGCCAAATCCGGGCTATATGGCGGATGAGGCAGAACTTCCCAGCCCAATTCCTCGATTTTCTGCTGGGTGATCTTTGCGGTGTGGGGTCGAGCGTTATCGTGGAGGAATTTTGTAGTCGCCGTGTTATTGCCTTGACGACGCAATGCCTGGTCCACGCGGCTCAATTGGGCTTTGTAGAGATCCGCCGTGACTCTTTGGCCCGAATCCAGCACCTCAAAATACACGAGACCTTTACTATTCCACCAAATACAAAGCATCACCCTTTTTCCGTGGACATTCGGTTTGGGAGTCGGTTTTGGCGGTTCACCGGCGTCCAACCACTGCCGTTTTCTTGTTGTGTTGTCGTAACATATCCACTTTTCATCTGCCGTAACAATGGAGTCGAGAAAACCGGCGGTCTTTGCGCGGCGGACGAGAATTCCAGCCATTGTAGCTCGAGTCGCTTTGTTTGCGTCGCTGAGCTGATGTGGCACCCATTTTCCACACCGATTCGTCTTACCAATTGCGTGCAAATGGCGGAGAATGGTTGTATGGTCGCAGTCAAACAGCTCTGCAAGCTCCCGAGTTGTTTGGCATGGATCCGACTCGATAGCGTTCTTCAACTCATCGTTGTCGACAATTTGAGGCGGATTCCCGCGTTTTTCGTCTTCCAAACTCTCATCACCGTCTCGGAAGCGCTGAAACCAAGTCCGGCATTGACGTTCGGACAACACGTCATCGCCGAATGCTTTGCACAGAGCACGATGAGATTCCGTAGGCGTTCTGCCTTGTTTAAAATCATACAACAAGCAAACCCGCACTCGAAATTTTTCGTCAACCATTTTCTAGAAGCTAAAAATTACTTCAAATTAAGTAAAACGCATAAGTCTTAGATATCAAAAGACGCGCAAAGAGACGCTCTTTCAGATAGACAAATATCTTCAATAAAAACTTTTATTAGGTTCAAAATGTAAACAAACAAGTGTGACGGAAGTTTCATCTGCACCAACCTAATAAACTTAATCAAGTAGCCTATAGTGCAGACTAATGTAGCCAAATCCGCACTATCGCTACTCCAATGCAAAATACCCGATTCCTAAGGTTACTGTAACAAGCCAAGCACAGGGCTTGGGTTCAGGCCTGACTAAAGGCCTGAACCCAACCCTGACTAAAGGCCTGAACCCAGGCCTGACTAAAGGCCTGAACCCAACCCTGACTAAAGGCCTGAACCCAGGCCTGACTAAAGGCCTGAACCCAACCCTGACTAAAGGCCTGAACCCAGGCCTGACTAAAGGCCTGAACCCAACCCTGACTAAAGGCCTGAACCCAACCCTGACTAAAGGCCTGAACCCAGGCCTGACTAAAGGCCTGAACCCAACCCTGACTAAAGGCCTGAACCCAGGCCTGACTAAAGGCCTGAACCCAACCCTGACTAAAGGCCTGAACCCAGGCCTGACTAAATGCCTGAACCCAACCCAACCCAACCCAACCCAACCCAACCCAAACCCAGGCCTTCTTTTCCCTTCCTTCTTTTACTCAAAAAAATTTGAATTATTCTTTTTTTGAAATTAAGAAACGTTTAAAAATGAGTTTTTTCGATATAATTTGAATTATAAAAAGAAAAATAAAAGCTAATTTTTAATTCTTTAATTCAATTAACAGTTACAGTAATCATATTTTTATAATGATTACAAAAAAAGCACCTGCTTTTTTTTCACCTCAGAAAATATTTTTCTATCAAAATTTCTTCTTACAAAAATTATCGATTTTAATTTTTTGTTAGAAATTTTGATTTTAAATTTTCTCTTCTTTCTTCTCCAGTTCCTCTTCCTTTCCCTTTACTTCTTCCTCTTCGTTCTTCTTCTCCTCTTCCTCTTCCTTTTCTCTTCTTTCTCTTCCTTCTTCATCTCCTCTTCCTTTCCCTTTACTTCTTCCTCTTCTTTCTTCTTCTTCTCCTCTTCCTCGTCCTTTTCCTTTTCTTCTTCCTCTTCTTTCTTCTTCTTCTCCTCTTCCTCTTCCTTTCCCTTTACTTCTTCCTCTTCGTTCTTCTTCTCCTCTTCCTCTTCCTTTTCTCTTCTTTCTCTTCCTTCTTCATCTCCTCTTCCTTTCCCTTTACTTCTTCCTCTTCTTTCTTCTTCTTCTCCTCTTCCTCGTCCTTTTCCTTTTCTTCTTCCTCTTCTTTCTTCTTCTTCTCCTCTTCCTCTTCCTTTCCCTTTACTTCTTCCTCTTCGTTCTTCTTCTTCTCCTCTTCCTCTTCCTTTCCCTTTACTTCTTCCTCTTCGTTCTTCTTCTCGTTGTTTCTCTTCTCCTTCTCTCCCCTCCTCAACTCTAATGAACGCTCATGTTCTTCCTAAAATGTTAATCAAGAACTTGAAAGCTTTTTATTTTAAAATTTTCATGAAAAAGCAAGCCGTCTAGTGCATGAGATTCTTTCCTTTTCAAGTGATTTCATTCATTCAAATCATTTCATTCATTCATTTCCTTTTTCTTTATCGTTCTTTTTGTGAGATTCATTCAAAACTATTGTTTTTACCGTAATCTTTTTCTTAAATTATTTTACAGTAATCCTTTCGAAAGACGAAAAAGATGAGCAATTGTGGATCCCAAGAGAAAATCGTGATCACATTTGACACCGATCCGCAGTACTATTTAAAGGTTCAGAGTTTTTTTTGATTTCTTTCAAACATTTAAAGGATTTTATTGATTATTTTTAAAAGATTCAATAGAAAACTACGGTAAATACAATTTAGAATTGTTGACACAGCTTTCTGAGACAGCAAAAGCTTAGCAAAAGCTCAGCGAAAGCTCAGCAAGTCCGTAGCCAGCTTTGAAACAGAGCTGAGCTTTGATCTAAATTGTTTTATTGACATTTGACAATATTCTTAATCGATATTAAAACTAAAATTATCAAATGTTCTCGATTTTCAGTCACTTACCTATGCGGGAATCATTGGTTTATTCGTGAACTCTTTCGGCGCTTATGTCATCCTTTTCCGATCACCCGCTCATTTCAAAACCTATCGCTGGCATTTATTGAACTATCAGGTAAATGAAAGAAAGCAAGAAGCAAGCAAAAGATTGATCGACTCTTGAATACTTTTCATTTCATAGGTCTGCTCAATGGGGTGCGATGCTGTGATGACTCTTTGCGCGGCTCCGGTTTTCTTCTTGCCGATTCCCGTATGCATGCCGATGGGACTATTCAATGCAATGGGGATGAACCCTGGATTGCAGATGGTAATTCCTGAATTCAACACTGTGATGCTAGACTGAGAGGCAAATTTAACACTGAGACGCCAGGCTGAGAGGCCAGACTGAGAGGCAAATTCAACACTGAGACGACGCCGGGATTCGAACCCCGCGTCACTCGCCTATCGCGAACACTCTACCAATGAGCTCTACCGTCCGCTCTACCATTATCAATTAATTCAAATATTATTTAGATCATCTACTCAACATTCATTCATTTAATCTTTGCCGCCACAATGCAAATGTTTTTCTATAAATGGCAAATGATCGTTCCAACCGGGAGTATGCTTAAATTCTCGAGAAGGGTTAAAGTGGGTCCAGTTTTTAGCTAGTTTTAGTTTAAGTTTAGTAGTCTTACGGTGGAATAAATCTTGCCGTAACCTTTAGCTTTTAAAAGTTATTGTAACCTTTAGCTTCTGAAAGTTTACAGTAACCTTTACCTTTTAAAGTTTACTGTAACCTTTAGCTTTTAAAGTTTACAGTAACTTTTAGCTTTTAAAGTTTACTGTAACCTTTAGCTTTTAAGGTTTACTGTAGCCTTTAGCTTTCAAAGTTTACAGTAACCTTTAGCTTTCAAAGTTATTGTAACCTTTAGCTTTTAAAGTTTACGGTAACCTTTACCTTTCAAAGTTTACAGTAGCCTTTAGGTTTTAAAGTTTATAGTAACCTTTACCCTTTAAAGTTTACAGTAACCTTTACCTTTTAAAGTTTACAGTAACCTTTACCCTTTAAAGTTTAGTTTACAGTAACCTTTACCTTTTAAAGTTTACTGTAACCTTTAGCTTTTAAAAGTTACTGTAACCTTTTGCCTTTTGAAATCTTACCTTAACCAAACGGTTACTCTCAAAGCAAAGTGATTTTTGGTGTCTTGAGATTGTAAAGGCAAAATCAATTAAAGATGAAGAACTTGGGTGCACCAGAAAGGGTGCGTTTATAAGAAAGCATCTCACCGTTCAGGCAATTATCCTCTCCTTTACCTATTTCATCTTTCTCACTCCGCATTTCATCTTTCTCCCAGCCACTTTCGAGAATCAAGCCGCGAAAAAGGTGCAATTGTTGGCGGTAAGTGTTCCCCATTCGATGGCTCGTATGCTATAATTGTATGCTATAATCGTATGCTCTAATGTTTAGCATAAAATTCATAGGATCATTCAGTTTATCAAGAGATCCAGATCATCCAGTTTTCCATAAAATTCCAGGATCATCCAGTTTATCAAGAGGTTTGGGCAGGAAATGTTTCAAAGATCGATGAAAAAGTGATCATCTTTTATATGAATGGAGACAATTCTCTTGCCAAGTATATCATTGCCGAGACAGTGCTTGGAGCGGTGAGATTTAAGCTTATCAGATACTTGTCAGATGATTCTAAAGTCTGTCCAGATTACCATAAGATTACCGTAAGATTACCGTAAGATTACCATAAGATTTTTAGCTTCATAGCTCTTTTTATCAAAGTCGATCTTTCTCTTGTAGATCTTTCTCTTGTAGATTCTAATAGAAAGAATCTACAAGAGAAAGATCTACTTTAGCTAGCTTTGTAGCAAAGTTATGTGAATGGTTTACGGTAGGAAAACGAGATTTAGAAATCTTTTCTTTACTAGATTCTCGGCTTCACAATGAGCTGGTTTTGGATGCACACTGTGTACATTTTTCGACAAAAGGGCAAATACTCGAATGCAACAAAACAGCTACAGTACAAGAAGTACTTGGTGAATCTCAGCTCACAGGTAACTCAGATCTTTACAGAGATCTTTACAGAGAACTTTACGAAGATCTTTACAGAGATCTTTACAAAGATCTTTACAGAGATCTTTACAAAGATCTTTACAGGAATATTTACAGAGATCTTTACAGAGATCTTTACAAAGATCTTTACAGGAATATTTACAGAGATCTTTACAGGGATCTTTACAGAGATTTGCATGCTTAGAAATTCGTTCTACTTCTCTTAAACCCCCCTTTTCTTTTTAGATGACTGTTCCAATGATGACCATGATGTATCCAGGCTCACTTCTCGGTTTAGTCATCATCTTTCAAGTGTGGAATGTTCAAGGTTTAAACCCCTCCCCTTAAACTTTTATTACAGAAAATTCTTTACAGAAATTGTTCAAATTGCAATCTTTTTGTTTTCTTGTCACGGGATTGTTGGAACGATATCGATTCTTTTAATGAATGAACATTACAGGAATTATTTGAGTGAACGCTTTTTTAGTGAGTTGAAAAAACAGAGATCATTTGTTATTATTTTCTCTAATAGTAGTGCAAACTGTTGAGCCGAGTTGGTGACGATTTTACAGTTTCCAAGCTTTCCCAGAAGCTCAACACTTAAATCCCCCACTAGATCTCATCGCTAGCTACATTTTCCGACCCCACATCAATAGGTTCTGATAAGCGGTTCTCAAGATTTCGAGGAATTTAGGAGACGCTGCACTACTATTAGAGATCAAGCGGTGTTCTTGCGGCGCTCTCTGTGCACACGCACAATCGCGCACTTTCTGGCATAGGGGGTTTACACATAGCAAGCCGAGGGGGTCGTGTGTCCATCAGATTTCTTGGGGTCTTGTCCAAGGCGCTCAAGGCGCTCAAGGCGCTCAAGGCGCTCAAGGCGCTCAAGGCGCTCAAGGCGCTCAAGGCGCTCAAGGCGCTCAAGGCGCTCAAGGCGCTCAAGGCGCTCAAGGCGCTCAAGGCGCTCAAGGCGCTCAAGGCGCTCAAGGCGCTCAAGGCGCTCAAGGCGCTCAAGGCGCTCAAGGCGCTCAAGGCGCTCAAGGCGCTCAAGGCGCTCAAGGCGCTCAAGGCGCTCAAGGCGCTCAAGGCGCTCAAGGCGCTCAAGGCGCTCAAGGCGCTCAAGGCGCTCAAGGCGCTCAAGGCGCTCAAGGCGCTCAAGGCGCTCAAGGCGCTCAAGGCGCACTACTATTAGAGAAAATACGATATTATTTATGTTAATATAATAAAAATAAAGAATAGAGATAGAAAAAAAGAAATGAGAAATGTTTTAGACACAGTGAGTGGTGAAGAGCGAACGCAAGCGATTTCATTGAATGCTGTCTTGCAAAGTTCAAAGAAAAACTCGACTCGACCATCAACTGCTCAACCGGCAATCATTATGGGATAAAATCAATGAAATCTTTAACGGTTAACGGATAAACAAAGCCGAACTTTCAATGAATTTCAATTTTGCATCAACTTTCAATTCAAATCGTTTTTATCGAGTTTTCTATTTAGAAATTTTCATAAAACAAATGATTTTTGAAAGTTGAAATTGAAAAGTTATTTAAATCTTCTTAAATCTTAAAATTTTCTCATCTCATAAGTTTAAGATGCTTTAAAATAAGCTTAAAAGTTGATGTTGTTGATCGTAAAGATTTCAATGATTTCTAAATAGCTGTGTACTCGAATGTAAACAAACTTTTTGGCTGGCTTACTGCATTCATTTCTCCTTCCTCCTTCCTCCTTCCTCTTTCTTCCTTTAAAATAAGCTTAAAGTTGATGCTGTTGATCGTAAAGATTTCACTGATTTGTAAATAGTTTCTCTATCGACTACTAAACGATAGAGAGACTATTTGCAAAAGTCTCTCTATCGACTACTTCACTACTCTCTATCGACTACTAAAACGAGCGTTCTAGTAGTCGATCGAGAGTAGACATGTTTTAAAATAAAAGCTTTTCTCATAACAATAAGTTTAGTAACGATTTATATCCGTTTATATCCGAACAACCTAATAGCTGCATATTCAAATGTAAACAAACTTTTTGGCTGGCTTACTGTATTCATTTTTCATTTCTCCTTCCCCCTTCCTCCTTCCTCCTTCCTCCTTCCCCCTTCCCCCTTCCCCCTTCCTCCTTCCCCCTTCCCCCCTTCCCCCTTCCCCCTTCCCCCTTCCCCCCTTCCTCCTTCCTCCTTCCCCCTTCCTCCTTCCCCCTTCCTCCTTTTTCTTTGATTTTATGAAAAAGTAAAGAATTCAATGCACGAGAAAATGTTTGTTTCGAAATTTCTGAAAGGTTTTTTATAATCATTTTTATAATCATTTTTATAACCATTTTATCATCATTTTTATTCAAATCATCTTGAAAAATCGAAATTTCTATGCAAAAATAAAGCGAAATCCTCTCGCTTATTCCCTCTCGCTCATTCCCTCAACCATTTCTCGATATTTTTCAAATCTTCATCAATACTCGTTTCACCCATTTTTTGCGCCTCCACTTGAATATCTTGATACAAAGCCGTTGATCTGAAAATTTTACAAAATAAACAATTCCATGAAATTCTCCACATCGAAAAACCAAAGTTACTAAAATTTACAGCAAAATTACTCAAATTTAGATGATTCTAGAAGCTTTTCTAGGTTTCTTGGGTAATTAAACCGAGCGGTATTTTTTGGGTACCGTTCAAGCAGTGTGCCAGAGGGCTCGCGTTTACGGGAGCGCACTGAGAACGAGGATCGCTTGCGCAGTGTTGGGGTGACGTTCGAGCAGTGTGCCAGAGGGCACGTGTTTACGGAAGCGTACAGACGTACAGACGTAAAACGAGGGTCACTTGAGTGGTGCTGGGGTTCAAGCAATGTGCGAGCAGTGTGCCAGAGGGCATGCGTTTACGGAAGCGCAATGAGAACGCGGTTTAAGCAATTTTTAACGGCTCACTTAACTCCCAGTGCGGGAGATTTAGTGCGTTGTGGTGTAGTGGTTGGCACAGTTGCCCGGTAAGCAAAAGTTTGCGGGTTCGAGCCCCAGCGGCCCGAAACTTTTGATCTGCCCTAGTTCCAATTGCTTTCCACATATGAAAAAGGTTTAAATTGTCATATGTGCTGTTTTTAACCGTATTTTCTTCTAGCTTACTGTAGCGTTGACTTATTTAGCGAATTCCCAAAGAAACTTACAAATATCTCTCGCCAAAGCTGTTCACGGCGGTCACAATCAATTTCCCTTTGTTTTCCGGTCGTTGAGCTAACTGAAATGAGAAGATTTTTGAATAAAATAGTTTTTTTGTATTGGCTTTTCTGGAGTTTACGGTATTTTTCGTATCTTTATCTTAATTCTGTGTTCTGATTCTGAAATGAAAATTATGTGGTCTGATTAGCTGAAGCTAGCTGATTAGCTGAAGGCTTAGGCTTAGCTGAAGGCTTAGGCTTAGCTGAAGCTAGCTGCTTAGCTGATTAGCTGAAGCTAGCTGATTAGCTGAAGCTAGCTGATTAGCTGAAGCTAGCTGATTAGCTGAAGCTAGCTGATTAGCTGAAGCTAGCTGATTAGCTGAAGCTAGCTGATTAGCTGAAGCTAGCTGATTAGCTGAAGCTAGCTGATTAGCTGAAGCTAGCTGATTAGCTGAAGCTAGCTGATTAGCTGAAGCTAATCAGAACACAGAATTTTCATTTCGAAAAGCCTAGATTAACTTTTCTCTTTTTTCAAGCATTCAATAATAAAATTTGAAAGAAAAACTATTAGTTTTCAAAGAAAACGAGAAACAAACCCGAATAGCAGCGACAAGATTTGCTCCAGACGAGATGCCACCAAGAATGCCTTCCTCTTTCGCTAAACGTTTAGCCATCGCGATTGCATCATCTAGAATAAAAAAAAGACTATATTTGCTATCAATTGTAAACAATTTCAATCGAATTTCCTTAAAGATTACGGTAGTTTTTTGATTGATTTATATTACAATTTTTATGAAATCAATAAAATGTTTACTCAGTGATGGACACAATTCAATTCGTGATGATTTCGATTAGATGATTATAAGATGGTTATTAGATGGTTATTAGATGATTATAAGATGGTTATTAGATGGTTATTAGATGGTTATTAGATGGTGATTTGATGGTGATTTGATGGTGATTTGATGGTGATTTGATGGTTATTAGATGGTTATTAGGTTATAAGATGGTTATTAGATGGTGATTTGATGGTGAATGGTTATTAGGATGATTCATACATCATCTAATAACCTATTGGGTTGGGGAGAATGAGTGAGTCGGCGATAAAGAGGCATTGGAAGCAAAGGGAATTTGCAAAAGGAATGAGCCACTTCTGGGCCCTGACCGCGGTTTAAATTTGAAAAAGTCTATAAACAAAGGGCTAATCTGTTTACAACGGAGGATTTTGAAAGTTTCGACTAAATCAATGACAAAGCGACGATGCTGTAAAGTTTTTAGTTCAAAAAAAAGCAAGTCTCTCCTCATAAGTAAAGCTAGAATATTTAGAATAGTCAATTTTCCATAAAGCGACTTTTGTGAACCTCCCCTGAATTTTCTCCAAGCGTTCAATAAAGACTTGTGCGCGGGGAGACCAAACAATAGAAGCATATTCTAAGATGGGCCGGATATAAGTCGTCAAGCATTTGCGGTAAGAGTTTAGGTTAGGATGAACAAATTGATTTGAGAATAATCATCTAATAACCTAATAATCTAATAACCTAATGAAATGATAGAGTTTAAGTGAATTAATACTCTTGTTTAATGAATAGATTACTTAGATTAGTTTATAGCAGATTCTAAAAGATCATAAAAGTATATTAAAGTTGGTTTTAAGTTGAGAAAAATGAGAATTTTCTGTTACTTAAGTGATTTGGATATATTTTTAGATAAATATTAAATATTACAATATTTCTAAGAGTATTGTAAGCTTTTAGTAGCCTTAGTTATCTTTGCTTTCCTTCTTTCCTTTCTTCTTTCCTTCCTTCTTCCTTCCTTCTTCCTTCCTTCTTCCTTCCTTCTTTCCTTCCTTCTTCCTTCCTTCTTCCTTCCTTCTTCCTTCCTTCTTCCTTCCTTCTTCCTTCCTTCTTCCTTATCTTTCCTTGAGGAAGGTGCAATGGTAGAGGATCAAGTTTGGTAAGCGAAAAGTGAATAGTTCAATTCCCAAATAGTCATTCTTTACTTTATTAATTAAAGACTATTATTTACTTATACAGAAAACGAAACAATATTATTTATTTATTTAATTGTTAAGTTTAAAATTTTGTTTTTACTTACCAGAGTGCACTCGAAGTGCCTCAGTGAAAAGGCTTTGATCAAGATTGTCAGGAATAAAAGCGACACCGATTCCTAGAAAATTTTCATATAATCTAAACGTCAATCAATCTATTTATAGAGTTGAAAAGGAAAGAACTTACTGTAAATACTGTAATAGTACCCCTGCGCCTATAATGACGGTGCGGAGTGTTGCGTCGTCTAGCTTTGAACCTTTGAACGAGTTTTTCTCGATACTGGTTTATGCTACAATGCGGGCTTAGATATCAAAAAATAGCTGAAATTCAGGGCTATTTTTTGATATATAAGCCCGCATTGTAGCATAAACCATGGTCGAGAAAAACTCGTTCAAAGCTACGCTCAAAGCTACGTTCAAAGCTCAAAGCTCGTTCAAAGCTACGCAACACTCCGCACCGTTATTATGGGAAGCTGGGGTACTATTACTGTATTTACGGTATAAACGAAATTCTCTCTTCAAACGATCACCTTGAATCTTGTGTGGAGTGTGCTGGAAGCCGTTGATCACCGATGATTCGTATGGTTCAACTGGGTACATCTAGAAAAGCTCTTTTATTATCCTTTGATTATTCTTTGATTATTCTTTGATTATTCTTTTTCAATTGCAAACATTTTTTTAATGTTCTAAGAATAATAAAGCCCAATTCCCTCACTTGTATATTCGGGTTTTTCTCTTTCAAAAAGCGACCAACTCCCGTGAATGTTCCAGCTGATCCGACGCCGAAAATTCCGATATCCACCTGAAATAGATCTAAATTGTAGATCTAAATATAAAAACAAATAAAAAAAGGTACTGTATTTTCTCTAATATTAGTGCACCAAGAGCGTCGCCTAAATTCCTCGAAATCTCGAGAAACGCTTATTAGAACCTATCGAACACTCGAATTACCCCTATAACCCCTCGGCTTGCTATGTGTAAACCACTTATGCCAGAAAGTGCGCGATTGTCGGTGTGCACAGAGAACGCCGCAAGAACACCGCTTGATCTCTAATAGCAGTGCAGCGTCTCCTAGATTCTTCGAAATCTCGAGAACCGCTTATCAGAACCTATTGATGTGAGGTCGGAAAATGTAGCTAACGATGAGATCTAGTGGGGGATTAGAGGATTGAGCTTCTGGGAAAGCTTGGAAACTGT